TTTAATTTCCTGGCTGCTGTTGCCAAGAGTGTTGACTGTGGAGCCAAGCAGACTAAAGTTTTTAACAATCTCAATCTCTTCACCATCCATCCTGATGCTGCCAATTGGTCCAGTGGTGAGAATCTTTGTCTTCTTGACATTGAGCCTAAATCCATATTGAAGGCTGCAGTCTTTGACCGTCTGCAACAAACGCTTCTAGTCCTATTCAGTTTCAGCAAGCAGGGTTGTATCGTCTGCATAACGCAGATTGTTGATAGGTCTTCCACCAATCCTGATGCCACACCTCTCCTCACAGAACCCAGCCTTTCGGATAATCTGTTCTCCATACAGGTTGAAAAGGTATGGAGATAGGACACTTCCCTGACATATGCCCTTCCCAATTTTGAACAATGCAGTGTTTCCTTGAGTGTTCTGATGACTGCCTCTTGCATACAAATAATTGATGGTCTGTTCCATGAGCACCTGGTCTGGTTTTGACTGGTGATATTGATCTTTGTCAACCATTTCTTCCACAGATGTAGTCAATCTGATACCTATGCAGTCCATCTGGTGACGACCATGTGTAAAGTCAGCAATTTTTTTTTAAAGGCACACGAATGAACAAATCACTGAATATACAATATTTGATCATTCTATTTCTGGCCTCATTTTGGTCACCAAGTCCATACTTTCCAACTACGCTTCCTTCTTTATTGTATTGAATTTTTGCATTCCAATCGCAGTTACCATTAACACATCTTGATTGCATGTTTGATCAATTCTGAACCACAAGATTTGATAAAAATCTTCTATTTCCTCCTTTTGGTTTTAGCCTTTGGTGTGTGTTGTTGTTGTTTTGTGCTACTGAGTCATCTCTGACTTAAAGTGACTCTACACACACTAGCTCTGAATCTTGCCCTATTTAGAGCTAATATCATCGTCTCCAACAGACCCAATCCCACCTCTCCAGTCACTGAGTCAATCCAGCTCATCCTGGGTCTTCCTCTCCTTCATTGTCTCTCCACCCTTCCAAGCATTATGTCCCTCTCCATGGACTGGTCCCTCCTGGCCATGTGCCTAGAATATGTGTGATGGAGTTTCAAAATCTTTGCCTCCAAGGAGAAGCCCAGTTTCACCCTCTCCAATACAGACCTGTTTGTTCTCCTGGTAGTCCACAGTATGTTCAACACTGTCTCCAGCACCACAACTCAAAGGCATTGATACTTTTTCTATCACCTTTAGTTATTGTCCAAATCATGGATGCACAGCAAGTAACTGCAAAAACCCTGGCCTAGATCAGGTGCACCTTAGTCTCCTGACTGACATTGTTGCTCTTCAGTACTCTACAGAGCTCCCCGACAGCAGACTTTCCCAATAAAATTTGTCTTTGATTTCTTGATTGCTCATGCCAAGAGTGTTGGTTGTGGAACAAAGCAATCTGAAGTTACCAACAATCTCAATGTCTTCTCCATCCATCATGAAGCTACTACTCAATGGCTGGTGCATATATTTAAATAACAATAATATTAACAGGTCTTCTTTTTATATGTGTGGATGGTATCCTATCATTCACAATATTGTACATCAGGAGAGAACTTGAAATTGTCTTTTTAACCGTTGGGGAAAATACATACACACACATATATAAATATAT